GGAGCAGACGTGCGGTGTGTAGACTGGCACCCCCAGAAGTCCCTCCTGGCCTCGGGCAGCAAGGACAACCAGCAGCCCGTCAAACTGTGGGACCCGCGGACGGGGGACGCCCTGGCCACTCTGTGAGTCACGCCTATGTGTGTGTTCTTGTCTCTCGCTAATGTCTTATGTTTGTCTGTCTATTTGTCTGTCTATATCTATCTATCTATCTATCTATCTATCTATCTATCTATCTATCTATCTATCTGTCTATCTATCTGTCTGTCTATCTGTCTATCTATCTGTCTATCTATCTGTCTGTCTATCTGTCTGTCTATCTGTCTGTCTATCTATCTGTCTATCTGTCTATCTATCTGTCTATCTATCTATCTATCTATCTATCTATCTATCTATATACAGTCGATCTTATCCTGGAAGGAATGGTCAGGGTGCCGTCTGTATGTGCCACCCCTCCTGTGAATGTAACGATTCCAGAGATGCCGACAAATCTATCCCCTCACATGTCCCCTCACACGCCCACAAATCTATTACCGCATACACACCCCTCTGTCCCCAGACACGCTCACAAATCTATTACCTCATACACACCCCTCTGTCCCCAGACACGCCCACAAATCTATTCCCTCGTACACACTCCTCTGTCCCCAGACACGCCCACAAATCTATTCCCTCGTACACACTCCTCTGTCCCCAGACACGCCCACAAATCTGTTCCCTCGTACACACTCCTCTGTCCCCAGACACGCCCACAAATCTATTCCCTCGTACACACCCCTCTGTCCACAGACACGCCCACAAGCACACGGTCATGGATCTCAAGTGGCACAAGAATGGCAACTGGATGCTGACAGCGTCGCGCGACCATCTGCTCAAGCTGTTTGATGTTCGAAACCTCAAGGAAGAGATGCAGACGTTCAAGGGACATAAGCGCGAGGCCACAGGTGAGTGTTTTCTTCTCTGGTGTCTGCGATGTTGCTGCAGTTAGGCTCTTTGCTGTCACACGCAGGAGACCCCAAGTTCGATTCCCTAGTGGGGAGAAATTTATATCAATTATCTCAAGTCTTTCTTCTGGGATGTTATATCCCTCTCAGCCTGGGATGGCCCTGACAGGCAGGGCTTGGAAACCCGCATAATTTAGCAAAATTTGATCATTATTTTCATAATTTCAAATTATTTTCCCTTATCATTCTTTGTTTAAATTAACAGAATCACATAATTTCACATTTTTGGGCTCAGTTTGCATAATTTCAGAATTTTTCTTGCATAAAACAGCGGGGACAGTCCTAAATTATCTAACTGGAGTGGGCCCTATCTGGGACCTACTTTTTTTTAGATTTTTGCCTCCCCTCGGACAAATTAAAGATTTTAAAGTTCAATTAGGCACATGTATCATATATGAATATATAGGGAAAATAATGACCCATCTCAACATGTTGCTAATAACGATTATTCTTCAGCCTGAGATTTCAGATTCGATTATAACAAAAGTTGGTGTAAAGTAGTTTTGAAGCCGGAAGTACCAAGCCGTCGAAAGAGTTGTTTTTAAAAAAAAATTTGCTTCTCCACAGCTATCGGCTGGCATCCCGTCCATGAGGGTCTGTTTGTCAGCGGGAGCGCCGACGGTGCGCTCATGTTCTGGATGGTGGGCTGCGACCACGAGATCGGCGGGATCGAGGAGGCCCACGAGGGGATGGTGTGGAGCGTGGGCTGGCACCCGCTGGGACACATTCTGGCCTCCGGATCCAACGATCACGCCACGTAAGACATTTGTGTCCTCGGGAAAGGGTTTTTACAACATATATCTTCCTCTTTTCACCTGCGGTGGGGTTTGTTCCTTTTTTTCCCTATCAAACATCTATAGTCCTTATCTCTCCTCCTTTTTTATTATGTTTGTTACTCTCTTGTAACACCTCTAAATCTTCGGCACTTATGTGACCTTATTGTGTTGCAAGTGCTGTAAAACACTTACTAAAACCCCCCCCAAAAACTCTCCTTCTTTCCTGTCAAACATCAATTGTCCTTATATCTCCTCTTTTGTTTCTATCAAACACCCATCTTCCTTATCTCTCCTCCTTTCCTATTGAACATTTATCGTCCTTATCTCTCCTCCTTGTTTTCTTTGTATGCCGCTCTCTAGTATTGCCTCTAATACGTGGCACTTATTTGACCTATTCATGTTGAGTGCAATTAGGGGACATGGAAAAGTCCTTAATGTACGGTATCTGAAAATATTGGAGAGTATTTTGATAAAGGGCTTATTGTATTGTGTATGAAAATTGTGGAGAGCATTTTGATTTTTTTAGTCTGCTGTTTTAAAGATTTTTTCTTTGTTTGCGTTTTGCCAATTCAGTTTTTTGTGAAGGTTATGAAATTGCAGTTTGAGTAGCCCAGTCTCATATGGAAAAATGCTGTATAACCCCTTTTAAACATTTCATGAATTTCTTTTTTGGCGGGTGCTCTGGTGTGTGGATGGATGGCGAGTGCTCTGGTGTGTGGATGGGTGGCGGGTGCTCTGGTGTGTGGATGGGTGGCGGGTGTTCTGGTGTGTGGATGGGTGGCGGGTGCTCTGGTGTGGGCAGTTGGTAGATGCTCTGTCTGGTGTGGATTGCTCCTTCTGTTCTATCAATCACCTATCATCCTTTTCTCTCCTCCTCCCTACATATCTGACTAAAGTTACACTAAAACATCTTTCTATCTACCCAAATTCTTCCTAACATTTTCAGTCGCTCAACCATACTGTTTGGAAGATTTAAGGTTTTTTTGTTTAAAAAAAATATTTTTTTTAACCCTCCCAGAAAATTCTGGACTCGCAATCGACCGGGTGACGAAATGCGAGACAAGTACAACCTGAACAACCTGCCCACTGGAATGATGGAGCAAGAAATCTGGGAGTACACCAGTGAGAGACATGCTTGAATTCTTTTCGTGATACAGTGGAATTAGGCCATGCATTAGTAATTAGTCAATTTTGGGGGCATGTAGAGATATTGGTATCGTCCTGAAGCCTGTTTATTTGTATTCTCTCTCTCTCTTGCCCTTTTGAACTCCCAGTGGAGCACAGGCCATCAACAACATTACTCCAGCGAAGCCTGTCCTGAGCATCCTTTTCTGTTTCCATGATGTCCCCGTTTATTTGTATTACTTTGGATGAAAAATATAGAGAACCCGGATCTAGATCTAGTTTTGAGAAATTTGACCGAAAAAAATTTTGGAGCTCCAAAAGTCATACTTTTTTTAACGCAATTCTTTGAGCAGCAAGACGATTTGGTTTCAGACCTCATGGTTTTAGTAACTCAAAAGGGCCAAAAATATCAGATAGAACTTTGTATTTCTGAGGCAGCAATATATAGACTTCCTTGTCCATCTGTGTGTGCTGTTTACATAGACTTTTCTTCTTACATATGTGTGTTTGCCTAAGAAAGCTACCAAAAGTCGCCACAGACCATTTTGAGCTACGGGCTGATAATGACAAAAAGTCACTTAAAAAAAAACCAAAATGTGTTCCCATAAACAAATCATAGTTCCACCATTTTTTAACAATGTGTTAAAAGGGTTTTCATTTCTTTGACTTCTATATATTTTATTTTGAATAATTTTGAGACTAGGGTATATTTAAAAAAGAGGTAATGAAAACAGCTTTTAAAAGGTGTTAAAATTTATTCTTGAAGCATGTTTTCTCTTCCCTGCTATGTTTCACCATTGAATTCTAATCATGATATTGATGTCAACTGAATGCCAAATTGGAAATGAACTTTCCATCAATTAATACTTTAGAAACAATTGATCATCGTTTTTTCCAAGTTTGTATGTTTCCTAAACTTAAAAGCTAATTTTCTCAAAATTAAATCTTTTTACCCTTCCTCATAAAAGTGCAATATCGAAAACTACTTGAGATATCTCAAAAATTAAAAAACCACTGTGTTCAGCATTGAATTAATTTCCTATTAGGTACAACCTTTAACTCAAAATGGTCAAAATCCGACATTTGGCACCTTTCTTTACGCACACACACATGCTTGTGTTGATGTATAGAACATGAATTGTCCCCCCCTGTTGACGTCCCCCCCCCTCACTGTCTCTCCCGTCCACAGACCAGGAACCGTCAGCGATGCCCAGCTTGCCCGGCATGGGTCTGGAGCACGGACTGCCCGAGCACTTGCAGGTCAAAGGTGAGAGGTCAAGTCAAACACACTGGTCAGGGGTTGGTGGGGGGCTAGAGTTTTTGTGAGACGAGCGTGTCTGCTTCATGATATTTGTTTGTTTGTTGCTACGACATAAGCTTGAACTGTGATCTAAACATTAACATTAGATACGTGGGTGGTTGGCGGGTGCTCTGGTGTGGTTTGCTCCTTCTTTCCTATCAAACGTTTGTTACTATCTTGTAACACCTCTAATCTTCTGGCGCTCATATGACCGCATGCAGTTGCGAGCGCTGTAAAACTTCAAAAACTTCAACTAAAACTAAAAACATTAACATACGATGTACTCACGGAAATTTTAAGACAAAGCAAGACATCCTGTTTTATATCCTTTGTTATATTGGGGTTTTTTTTGGTATGCCTATTTATGCTCAAATATCTTGTGGGTTTTTTTTTCCCCTTTCCTTTCGTGTACAAATATCCTGTTAAAAAAAATTCATGTATACAAATTTTTAATTAATTTTTTTATTTTGGATTTATGTGTACAAGTTTGTTGGGTTTTTTTCTTCCTTTGTTTATATGGACAAATATCCAGTTTTTTTCTTTACTTATGGGTAGAAATATAATATTATTTTTTTCTTTTACCTGTGTATGCAAATAGCTTATATTTTCCCTTTTACAAAGAATAAAATATACAAACATCTTGAATCTTGTTTCGCCTGTGTGTGCAAATTTCATTTTTATTCCTTTGTTTATAATGCATACAAATTTGTTTTCCCCTCCTTTGACCTTGCAGAAGAGAAGCGGTCGGAGAACGAGCTCCCGGCCATCCCGGGCCTGGACTGGGAAGAGGACGTGGCCCTGATGAAGGCCGAGCACGACAAGGCGGCCCAGCGGAAGGTGCCGTACGCCAGGCCCGTGCCCAAGATGTTCGAGGCGGCCTGGTCGGGCGAGATCGACGTGGAGGCGATCAAGAAGGAACAGCTGCACAAGGAGCAGCAGAAGATGGCCGCGCAGATCATGGACCGCAAGTCCAGCCTCATGTTGGCCCAGCAGGTCATCGGGGCCGCCCTGGCCGGCCAGCTGCGGCATCAGCTGTCGTCGGGCGAGGGGTCGGGGGTCATGCTGCCTCCAGGTCCTATCATGCTAGGGGGTCCCGGGGCCCCGCCTATGATCCTTTCGGGGCCGCCCGGACAGCCCA